ACATAATGTAAATATTGAGATTAGCACATATATATATATATATATATATATATATTATATTTTACCATGGCCCCCTTGCCAGTCACACTATGTGCAAGATACTTACATAATTCCATAAAAACTTAATCATGCTGTGGTTGTACACATTTACAGAAAAACAATGTAGCTAGCTACTATTACATGCGTAAACCCTATTGACCTCTAGTTACGAATTGTATCATTAAATGAACACATATTAAGTTATACTAGGAAACACAATTTTTACATAGAAATAATTAAGAAAAATTTGTATCTAGGCTTCTTTCTGGGGTTTTAAGTCAAGTCTCTACACAGTTACAACTATAATGGCTTATGCTCAGTCATAAACTTCAAAGGAGATCATTTTTACATGCGAGTCCTGGCATAGTTCATGTCACGTAAAAGTTTTTTCGAGGTCTGGTTAGTTAGGAGATTCAGCGAGACTGTCGCTGGATGGCACATGATCAAATATAATCACATTTTCTTTCACTGGGTCTCTCAGAAAATTAAATTTAATATTGATGTGCTTACTTCTTTCAGAGTACATGGTTCTTGGCTAAGAAGATTGTTCCCTGGCTCCTCCTCGACTAGCACATTTTGAGGTGAAGCAGCTAATTCACTACAGATTTCCTTGATCAAATTTTTAATCCATAGGATTTCCTTGGCAGTGTGACACATCGCCGCATACTCTGCTTCTGCCGATGATAAAGCTGTTGTGGATTGCTTCTTGCTCGACCATTATATTGGAGCACCTGCGAGTAGCATTATATAACCACTGTAAGATTAGGGTTAGTTCTGTCACCTGCCCAGTCAGCATCTGAAAAGACTTGAAGTGGCTCACCTGTCTTCTGGAATCTCAACTTTCTGTGTCGTGTTCCCTTTAGGTATCTTAGAATGCGCTTCACACCTGTCCAGTGTTCTTCAGTGTGTTTTTCATTAAATTGGTTCATGTAGGTGGAAGAATAAGCCATGTCTGGGTGAGTACCACAAGTCAGATAAAGAAGACTTCCTATAGCTTGTTTGCAAGGGATTTCCTTGCTGTTTTCTTTGATTTCCTCTTACTGTTGTTCGTCTACATTCTTATATTTTATGCTGGGGTCCAATGGTGTGGATGCATATTTAGCTTCAGTCATTTTAAAAATTTCTAGGATTTCTGATACATAAACGATTTGATCTAGTGTATATGATCCATTTTCTTTTTTGCATATTTGCATAGATAAGATCTGGCTTGCAAGACCTAGGTCATTGACATTGATCCTTTTCTTTATGATTTCCTTGAATTCATTTATCTCTGGCATGTTTCCAACTATCAGGAGGTCAACATAAACTCCAATTATAGTGGTGTTCTCATGACAAAAGTAAATACAAGGGTCTGCACTTGATCTTTTCAATCCATACTGGATCAGGAAGTCGTTCAAGCAGGTATTCCATGCACATCCTGATTGTCGGAGACCATAAATGCTTTTCTTCAGGTGGCAGACAAGGTGTTCTTTCCCTTTCTCAATGCAGCCTTCTGGCTGTGCCATATATATGTTCTCTTTTAGAATTTCATTAAGGTATGCACCTGTCACATCCATTTGGTGAACCCCTAAGTTTTTCTCTGCAGTTACGGCAAGCAGTAACCTTATAGATTTAAGTTTGATGACTGGTGAAAAGGTGTCTTGAAAGTCCACTCCGGGTATTTGCAGATAGCCTTTTGCCACCATCTGGCTTTGAACTTTGCTTGGTTCCTAATCTCATCTTTTTTTCTTACAAAACAACCATCTGGATGGTACTATCTTAGCTCCTGGTGATTTCGTAGTTAGTTCCCAGGTTTGATGAGTGAGATTCTGAATTTCTTCCTCCATGGCTTTTAACCACATGTCAGCTTCAGGTGATTTCAGGACATCTTTCAGAGTTATTGGGTCCTTTTCTTCAGATTATTGTATCTCTTGGGCATCGTACAGATAAAAATCTTCGAAATGCTTAGGAATTCTGGTGTTTCTTTTTTCACCTGTCTCACTCACATGGGTAGGATTTCTGGCTGCTTCGACTTCAGGGTCTAGGTTGTTAGCAACGTCTTGTATTTGTGTAACTGACTGGCTTTCATCTTCGTAATCTGGGGTATTTTCAAGTTGTAGGTCTGGACATCTTTCAGAATTTTGTTCAATTGGATCTATGTTTAGATGTTGGGTTTCATACGAGTCATTTCCATCAGGAATTATGTGATCTAGAGCTGAGTCACGAGCTTCTGTTTCAGGTAGGTCCAGGGGATATTCTGATTCAAAGTCTTCAAATCTAAGAGTAGCTTCTTCTGCAGAATTGTCACACTTGCTTAGTTTTAAGGTGAAAACGTTTTCTTCAAAAATGACATCTCTGTTGACAAAAAAGTGTTTCTTCTTCAGATCACACAATTTGTAGCCCTTAACTCCTTTAGGATATCCCCCAAAACACATTCTGCAACTTAAGGATCAAGCTTGTTTCCGCTTGAGTGTGAGCGAACATGGCTCCAGGCTCCGCATCCGAAAACTCTGAGGTGGTCTGTTTTGCTTCGAGACACTGACCATCTTTCCTCTGGAATATCACCATCAATTGCCATAGATGGATGCTTGTCATGGACATAGGCTGCAGTGGCCATTGCTTCAGCCCAAAACCTGTGATCTGCTCCAGACTCATTAAGTAAGCATCTTGTCATGTTTATCAATGTTTGGTTCAGTCTTTCTGCCAAACTATTTTGTCGGGTTGTATCAGGTACAATTAGTTGTCTTTGGATCCCATGTGCAGCAATGTACTTGTCAAACCTTTCACTTATATATTCCCCCTCATTGTCATTTTTCAGGAATTTAATTTTTCTGTTTTGGAGATTTTCTACCATGCAACAGTACTCCTTAAATTTTTCTAGTACTTCACTTTTGGCTTTCATAGAGAATGCTGTTATATAGTGAGAAAATTCATCTATGAAAGTCACAAAGTAATTTGAGCCTCCAAAGGAAGGGGGAAAAATTTTACCAACAACATTGGAATGGATAACTTCTAGGATGTCTTTAGCTTTTGTACTAGCGGCCTTTGGAAATTTCTTCCTTTTCATTTTTCCCTGGATACAGACTTGGCATGGTGCATTTACCAATACTGTTGATTTTAGGTTTCTGCTGATAGGGATAATATTTTTTGTTGTACAAAAATGTGGATGACCAGTCTACAATGCAGCAAGTCGACACTTTCTGTTTTCGTAACGTAGGCAGGTGTCATCTTTTCTTCGATTATGTAGTCTTCCTTTTTTCTTGCCGGATAAAAGAATGTCTCCATAGTTACCAATCACTTTGGCTTTTACTTCAGCAAATTCTGCTTTTAAGCCTCTTTCTTCCATTCTACCAATGGATAATAGATTTCTTCCTAGTTCTGGAACATATAGGACATTTTCAGTAGTGATGTTTTTTTCCTCCATCTTCTTCTCCAACAGGAAATGAAATATTTCCAATTCCAGTGACCTTTATTCTTTCTGAATTAGCAACTTCAAATGTGCACTTCTTAAGGTCTGAGAATTTTCTTTTATCAGAGGTCATGTGTCCTGCAGCTCCACTGTCTAAAATCCATAGATTACTTTTCCTTGATTTTTCTTTGTTTGCCAGAAGTGCAACGTTTGTCTTGAAGTCAACTGCAGTTTTGGCACTGTTTTGATTCTGATATTTGGCCTCTTCACATTTTTAGAGATGTGCCCTCACTGGCCACAGCTGAAGCATTTCCTCCTCTGTTAGTTTCTTCTTCATTTTGCCTTTTAGCTGCATACTTCTTCATGGGTTTTCCAAATACAGGTTTCTTCTGGTTGGTTGCAAATCTTTTACTGTGAAGAGCTTGTTCTTCATGATACATTTTGGCTGAACTCACATTTTTAACCATACATTTCTCTTCTACAAGTAGCCTTGGTTTCACAATCGCAGTTGTCAGATTTGCTTTGTCTTTTTCCAAACATAGGATGAGCGATTCATAACTTCTAGGAAATCCCAATAGCATCACTAGGGCCACTTCTCTATCTGTGAAGGAATATCCACCATTAGCTAATTTTCTATGTAAGTCCATTAATCTTGCTAGACAGGATTGGACAGACTCATTTGGCTTCATATTTATGTTAAAGAACTCTCTCATAAGTTGCAGTATGTGAAGCAAATTGAATTTTGTATGCATTTCCTTTAAACATTTCCAGGCGTCTCTGGCTCTAACACAATCTCCAATATCATCTAGAAATGTATCTTCAACTATGAGGAATAATAATCTAAGAGCTTCAACAACAACACTGTTGCCTACTAACATAATGTAAATATTGAGATTGGCACACATATATTAATTTTTTTAACAGAAAAGAATATCTGTGAAATATCTCACTGGGTCAGCTTCTAATGTGGGCCAACTGTATGTCCAGTAGGTACAGTAATGTGGTGCAGCAATACCCGTAAACTCACCGATGTAGTTCTAGTGCTCTGTTTTACTTTTCCCTGTCCCTGCCACCACCTACTTTTGCAATTCATGCAATTTCTTTGGCTTCATTTTCAGTTGAAGGAAATCCTTAAAAACCATTGATAAGTTCTGGCCAGAACTTATGCCAGTTAGTATTCAATACTGATGAATGAAGACTAAATTATATATGAATGAAATTCTAGCAAAGGAAAAAAAAAAAAAAAAAACACAAAATAAATGGAAACAATTAAGGTAACACATTTCGCAAATCTGTGCTCAGCAATGGTTTATTGTAAATGCAAAAATTGCTCCGAAAGGTAGCTATGAAAATAAAAACCATCAAGCAAAATAATTCAGGAATATATTTCAATAACTTATTTTAAACAGAATTACCTTTTTAACTATTTAGCAAGTGATAAGTTATTATTATACTCAGCTATGATCACATACCTGTTTAATATTTAAAAATCAGACAAAAGAATTCACTAGCAAGCATTAAAATGCTTTGCTTATTTTATACTATAAAAATATATAACAAAAATATTATTTACCTGTATAAGGGTTGTAAGTATCATGGTCATAATAAGTTTCTTGTTGCTTCTTTTTAATAGCCCTTTTAGTTCTTACACGCACTTGCTTAATTGGTGTTTTAAAGTAAGCTAGCATGAATGGCTGAAATTCTTCAGATCCTTTCGAGCCCACAATACCCAAATCATGTGGATCAACACTATGAGCTGTCGAGGAATACACACAAATTAAACTTTCTGAAATGCTCTTTAAAAAAAAAAAAAAAAAAAAAAAAAAAAAAAACTTTTCAAAGAATACGTATATTAAAACTTTAGAATGTTTCTAGTACTTGTATGACAATTACGGAAATGAATGTACAGTATTTAACTACTGCATTATTCAAAATCAAAGTCCAACAATAAGAATCAGCATAAATTTTTTTAAATGTTTTGCAGTACTAGTTTCCATAGTTTTTGAACTACCTCCTTCAGCTGCTAAGTGCAGATGAACCAAATAAAGAGTGAAGAAAGAAAAGATAAGAATAAAGATAAGATGAGAAATGTTGGACAGAAGTTAAACTACCGGCACCATCTATTGATGAAACAAAAACTAAAACAAAATTTCTTTAAAAGCTGGATTGCAATCGGTAAAGATGGATTGCAATTGGGGTCATTAACTAGAACAGAAATATTTTTTTGGATGTGATGCTTCTAAAAAATCTAATTAACCAATGGAGGACTGAATAATTTTGGCTGCAGAAAAATGGAAAGTGCAATTTTCATTCCAACAATGCTGAGCAGAATCGGATTTCTGTGTTTCCTTTTTCCTAACATATGCCTCATGTAATACTAAAAATAAAAATTGCACGTATTTTGCAAAAATTTAACTTTCGGGTTGTTTTCTCTCCTATCAATAAAATTCCTAGTTCTATGCTTAAGGACTCCATTCAGGATATGAATTCCTGGGTATTTACAGGATTTCTTGCCAATGTGGTTTAATTTACATCGGTCAAACAAAAAGAGCCTTAAAATTTCATGTTAAAGAAGAGGCATATGTTAGGACAGCATTGTTGGAATGAAAATCACACTTCCATTTTTCTGCAGCCAAAATTATTCAGAAAATGTCCTTCATTGGTGAATTAGATTTTTTAGAAGTGCTTCACATCCAAAAAATATTTCTGTTCTAGTTAATGATCCCAACTGCAATTCATTTTTACCTTAAGCTTTTAAAGAAATTTTGTTTTAGTTTTTCTTGTTTCATCAATATATGGCGCCGGTAGCTTAACTTCTGTCCAACTTTTCTTATCTTATTCTCTATCCTTATCTTATCTTCACTCTTTATTTGGTTTATTTGCACTTAACAGCTGAAGAGGGTAGTTCAAAAACTATGGAAAGTAGTACTACAAAAAATTGTTAAAAATTTAAGTTGATTCTTAATGTTGGACTTTGTTTTTGATTGAGCGTGATATTTAAACAAAATTACTGCATTATTATTAGTTATTTAGAATTATAGAAATTAGAAAATATTGAAGTTAAAATATTAACAGTCTAACCATAATAAACAACAACACCTTTCATGTAATATTAGAGCATTCAGAGTTGACAGTGAAGCATAAAAAACTTTCATATTTTAATGAGAAATGCTGACTACTGCATTTAAACAAATTTTAATAAATCAAGCTAAGTTGTGAATGAGGTCTTTTAGCTGGCTGATATGAAATTACTAAAATTATTAAAATAAAATATTACCTTCCTTTGCATTGGCTCTAAAGAAATTTAAAAGATAATAAGAACTTGCTGAATTTAATAACTATTCAGAATCTCATATTATTTTTTAATTTCTAAATATTAGATCATTCCAAAAGTTCTGCAGCTTTTCAAATTGGATTGCAGTTTATCTAATTATTTTGTTACTGCTGATAAGAAGTGACTTTAGAAATGATGATGAATAAAATGATGTTTAAATATAATCTTTTCTGCTCACACTACATAATTATAGCAGAGTTGTGTGTCACAATGCAGTGCTAAGAACGGAAAACTGAAAAGTTAATTTTCGTCATATTTATGCTCATTTATTTTAAAAAAAGGAAAAAAATGCTAGTCAGATTGCTAATAAAATTAGCACTATCCATGGTAATTTTCTATATAAGTGCTCATAAAATGTGTGCTATACAAGGTGAATCTGAACAAGTGGGCAAAACTTTAGGCGGTGATAGAAGACAGCTATAACGAGTAATATTTGACATAGAATGTATAGTCGGAACGCAAACGGCAAGCCACTAGGTGGCATTGTAAATGGCATAAAAAAGGTCAGTCCTTGCACCCAACTACAGCAGAAAACAAAAAGGAAGAATTCTTACTTTTTGTTTTCTGCTGTAGATAGCTGAGATAATGGCTGGTTATATGAACCATGAAATTTCCAGGCTGATGGATTGTTCGAGGTGGTCCCATATTTTGACCACCAAGATAACCAGATCTCTCGTGATTGGAATTTTTCCAGTGGAGCCCTATGAAAAGTCTAAATCTACGAATGCCCAATTGAACCAAATACGGATATAGTCGCCAGGTTCGCCGTTGTTGCTGGCAATACTCAGGAAATGCCTCGTTTCCTCACAAATGTGAGTCGGTCTCTATCGTGCCTGTATTTCAGCTGGCGGAAGGTCTTTTGAGCAATTTCTTTGAGCATGTATATCAATTACATTCCTGTTAATAAAATGTTTCCTGAAGTATCTCCTCTCTTGTGTTAATTCTTTAAATGTGACAGTGAAAAACTACCTTTTAACTTCTCACCACTTGCATTCCGACCATATATTCTATGACAAATATTGCTCCTATAGCTGCCTTCTGTTACCTCCTAAAATTTTGTTCAATTGTTCAGATTCACCTTGTATAAGGACTGTTTCTAATGACACAGTTCAAAGGCGGTTTGAGGAGTTAAAACATGGAAATTAAAGCTTCAAAGATGATGCCTGCTCTGAACAACCATCCTCTGTAATTAAGGACTATTAATGCACAGACTGTATTTGACAGAAAACTGAAAACTAAAAAGCAAAATCTTTAACAGTACCAATTACACTGAAATTCACATCATCATTGATATTAAAATTAATAAATTACATGCTGTATATTTAATTCTTACTTTCGCACTGAAATATATCCCATATATTAACTTAGATTATTTTTGGAAATATCCATCATTTGATTCTGTAGAGAAATACTACAAACACTTTCTTTCCTATATAAAACAAATTCCAGTTTAAAATTTTTTGTTCATAAACTGTAACAAGTTAACATCTGCTTAATTTCATTTTTATCTATCAAAATCCTTTTAAAGTTGAGTAAAATGTGAATATCATATTATTTGAATTATATACTTCACTTTTTACTTACATATGGCAGGAATTTTACCGAGCATAAGGATGCAAAAAATTGTTAGTTTTGAATGTATACATGAGTTCATATACATAATGAATCATAATATGCAAATACATATATGAGTTCACAGCATTTAAAAAGTTAAATACGGAATTTATATCTTTTAACACTGCCGTCAAAGTTTCAAGACTGCAATATAGCATATAATTGTAACAAATCATATTAGAAACTTACAAACAGTGGAAGATTTGATCTTCAAGTACAGGCCTAAGTTTTTCTTTGGAAATGCAATCCATTCCATGACACGTTCAGTAACATTAAAAATCAACCATCCAGTGTCTTCATTTGAAATCATGATTTCATCCAGAAAGTCTAAAGTATTTATACTAAAATGACAAATATTTTAAATTGACTTAAAACACTACAAAAATGCTATATATTCCAAGTTTCAATGGTTTTTATTAAAAAATTGTGATATTTTTTGCCTTAAACATAATTTTAAAGTCTGCACTTGTAGAATTTTCCAGCAAAAAATGTGGTAAATTTACTGAAAGAACAGAGAATTTTGCGACAAAAATCTCTAAAGGGTACAACAAGGAGTTGCGTATAGTAGATAGCCAGTACTGCAGCATTTTCACAATCCCGAGTCTCTGCAATTCTCTGACTTTTTTTTATGCAAAAACAGATTGCTGGGTACTTTAGGAGAGGACTAGTGCCAAAACATTACAGAAGGATTTGGTGAAGAACATGTTTTATTTTTTTAATGTACAGTAATTCTTATTTGATAATTAAAATTTGTATTTTAAAATACTGAAGTATGTTTTCTTTTCTTTTGTTAATAATGACTGCTTCCAAAACCTCCAATTTGCACCTAATAAATACCTTTCATCTTTCATCTGTAAAAAATCACCAAACTATATCGAGGTGGTAGTGTTAATACATAAGAACCTAAAATTGATATAATAGCAAACATATGAAATATTTGTTCTTACCCATAATTTCAGTTCATAAGGATGTCCAATTATATGCATACAAAATCATTATGAATTCTTAACTTTATAAGTTTAATGTCTAATTAGGTTAAGAGTTATTACTACTACATTAAGACAAAACATTTGAGTTTAAGAAAATTAAAGATTAATTTAATTTTCTAATTTTATATCATGTTCAAACAATACACATATTTATACACAAAACTTAAGAATGAAGAGCAGAAATTAACAGTAGAATGCCTAAAATATTTCCATTATAATTTCATACACAACATCCTGATAATTACCCAAGGTAAAATACCTAAATGTTGAAAAAGATCAGAATAAGAACAGGGTGATCAAGGCGGTCAAGACCACACCCAGTATTATTTCATCATGGATTATGGTGAAAGTAATAACTGCTCGGTTATTGCTCGTGTTTGAGTGAAATATATTTTTTTAGTCTGTGTCTTTAGTTTCCATTTACTGTTTGCAGTAGGTGGTGGTGAAACTAATGACTGTGTTGTTATTACTCATGTTTCTGTTTGAGTACAACATATATATATATATATATATATATATATTCTGCATTTCTGTTTACTGTTTGTAATAGGTGCTGAGAATATATAAAGATATAATGGGTGTGTCATGTATCTGGCTGCGGTGAGCCAATCAGCTGCCTGCCAGAGCCCAGCAAGTGAGAGAGACGACAGTTGCATGTTAGCCTCAGAGGAGGCAGGTGGTAGATTAACTATGTTGTAGGAGCGAGGTAGTGCTCCGAGTTTACTATTATTCTTTGAACGTTAATTTTTTTTACCATTATTCTTTGAACGTTAATTTTTAAAAAATGTTTGTTTCGTTTTCCTTATGGTGCCTTATTCATCCGTAAGGTCATTACAACACGCTCTCCTTTCGAGAACCAGAGCGAACGAGGGTGACTGGATTTTGAGAAAAGGTGAGAAATTTTTGTTGTAATTTTAAGGAAAATTTCTTCTAAATATGTTTAAGGGAGTAGTTAAAAGTGATTTGATTTCGGTGTTGAAGGAACTCGGTGAAGAAGCCGATTCTAGTTTAAAAGTTGTAGAATTAAAAGATAAGCTTTTAAGTTCTAAAGAATATTTGAAAGATAAAGATTTTGTTATTGAATTTCTTAATACTACGGTTGAAGAAAGGAAAAAGTCAGAAGAAAAAAATTGTGAAAACTGCGTTTAATGCAAATCGAAAGTAGCAACGAATCTAGTAACGTAACGTAGAAAATACACTTTCATTAGATAAGCTTTTGAAAGCTGTACAGGCATTATCGATTTCTGTACCTAAAAAGGGTGAAGCATGGAACTTATTTTTTGATTCTATAGAAAGGGCTTTTAAGCATAAGAACGTACCAAATGAGTTTAAGTCTGAAATTTTACTTAAACTGATAGGTGATAAATCTTCTAATATTCTAGTATATATTAAAGATGATGATTTGAAAGACTATGAAAAATTTAAATCTTTAATCCTTAAGAAATATGAACCATCGCCAATTATATGTTTAGAAAATTTTCTCCAAGCTCAAAGGTTGACGGGAGAAACTCATTTGCAGTTCGCCTCTCGTTTAAGATCATGTTAGATCCATTATTGTAAAAGTAGAAACATCAATGATTTTGAGTCTTTAATTAATAATTTTTGACAATCTTTTTCAAACATTGGATAGTAATTTAGCGTGCCACGTTGCAGTTTGACAAGGTGAAAGTTGGCTATGTCCAGAGGAACTAGCGAAGGAATCCGACATTTATTTCATCGCAAAAGGTAAATCTTTTGATGACATAAGAGGTGAAAAACGCATTAATTTTCGTGATTAATGCAACAAAACCTCTAAATATATTCCACCAGCACTAAGAAAAGATTCAGTGGTAAATGAACAGAAACATTCATTTAAACCGCGAGAATATTATGTGTGTAGTAGCAGTTTACATTTGGCTAAGGATTGCCCGAACAGGCGAAATAAATTTGAGAGGTCCAATAAACAGAATGATAATTTCCCGGTCAAACCGAAAGTTAACACTTCAACTAAACTGAAGGACAATGCGGTTGTTACAAATGTAAATTCTAAACATTTACAAAAACGCGAGTGTTCCGACGGAAAACTTAATTTTTATACCTTGGAAAAGATTACTATTTACATTGCAGGGAAACAAGTAGAAGCTATAAAAGATTCAGGTATTGAAATACCAATTTTGAACACTACATTAATTCCTGATTTAAAAATAGAAAGTAAGGGTAAAATCATTTTACGTTCTGCATTTGGCGACGTCATAGAGGCAACGTTAGCAACTACTCTCATTTATTACGAAAAAAACAAGTAGTAGTCTATATTCTCGCATAGAAGCTTTTTTCGCGTTGACAGATAAGCTCAATGTTCAATGCTTAATTACACCAGATGTATGGGATCTCATATTTGAAGACGAGAATGAATCAAAAGTCTTCCCTGAAATGAAACCGGAAACTCATGAACAAAAACAACTTGAGGTTGGCGCCGTTGAACTGTCAAATGTAAATCTTTTTTTATAGCTCAGTTGCGAATCAGGATGATGAAAGACTAAACAGTTGTTCGGAATCGAATAAATTTAAGGACGATCAAAGAAATTGCCGAACATTAATAAATTCTTTTAAGGACGCAGAATTAGGGAAGAATAATTTCTTTTTACAGGACGAATTATTATTTCATAAAGAGAAAATTTGTGGGGAAAACATACAACAGTTAGTTTTGCCTGAGAATTATCGAAATAAAGTCCTTCAATTAGCTCATGATTCCATATTCGGAAATCATTTAGGTATGAGGAAAACTAAAGAAAGAATTAAGCTTTCATTTTATTGGCCGAACATATCCAAAGATGTAGAAAATTATTGTAGAACATGCGAAAGATGTCAATTAAAAAGTCCGGAAAGACAATCGGATAAAATTCCGATTACTCCTATGTTTCGCGCGCCATATCCCTTTCATACAGTAAATATAGATAATATTGGTGAAATTTCACCTCCTTCAGGAAGGAAACATAAATATTGTTGTTTGTTTGTGATAGATAATCATTCAAAATGGCCAGAAGTCATACCTTTAAAAAGTCTTTCTGCTAAAGCTACTTGTGAGGCTCTTTTAGATATTTTTATGAGAACCGGTATTCCAGAAATAATTTGTAGCGATCAAGGCACTAATTTTACCTCACAATTAACTCAAGAATTCGAAAAAAGGTTAGGAACTCATCCTCGTTTTTCGACACCTGGTTACCCAGCATCAAACGGCTCAGTGGAAAAATGGAATCGGGTATTTAAACAAATGTTACATCATGTAATTCGCACAGATCCTGTTAATTGGGACAAGCACATACCTTATTTACTTTTTGCGTATCGTGAAGTTCCAAAATTGCACTACCAGGTGTATCTCCATTTATGCTTATGTACGGTCGTGAAGCTAGAGGTCCCTTAGCTGTGTTAAAATCATCATGGTCCGGTGAAATACCATTACCTCTTAATCTGAGTAATTCAGCAGTTGATTATATCTACAAAGAATTAAAGATAAATTTAGAAAAACATCTGAGCTCGCTTCTTTATCTGCCGAGGGAAAAACAAGAAGCTTACGCATATTATTTTAACCGTCGCAAAAGTATGAAAGGATTTAAAAATGGTGATCAAGTATATTTACTTATACCAGACTCTAGCAACAAGCTATATGCTAGGTGGACAGGTCCAGGTGAAGTTGTTGAAAGAGTAAATCCTCATTTTTATAAAGTTAAATTACCAGATGGTAGTGTGCAGCATGTTCATATAAACAAAATAAGAAAATTTTATGTTCGAGCACAAACTGTGGGAGTGATATTTGAAGATGATTCTGAGTTTGGGGAAATTCATGTCCAACTCCAAATAAAGGAGATTGCGCAGCAACTAGAAGGGGACATCGAGGTGGATATTAGTCATTTAGAGGGTAGCAAACAAAAGGAATTACATGAGCTTTTACTCAAGCACATCGCGTTATTTTCTGGTGAGATCCAAATAGCCAGCGTTGGTGAACATAGAATTCGGTTGTTACCTGGAGCTGAAAGAAAAAAAACCATATATCTATAAGATCCCAGAATCTTTGAAACCTGAAGTAGATAAACAGATCGAGGAATTAGAGAGCTTGGGTCTTATTGAGCCAAGTGAAGCTGAAATAGCATACCCAGTCGTATGTGTTGCCAAGAAAGACGGAAGTATGCGTTTATGTATTGATTTCAGGTTGTTGAATCAAGTAACCAAGCCTGTTGATTTTCTAATGGAGAATGTGACTGATCTAATCAATAAAATTGGACACGTGAATATTATCACCTGTTTAGATGTCTTGAAAGGTTACTGGGAAATACCTTTAGAAGAAGAAAGTCGTGATTTAACATCATTCAAGACAC